GGAACCCACCTCAATGCAGGAAGTGCCAAAGAGGAGAGAGCAGTACCCCTGGGAGATGCTGATTGACCCAGAAAGCCCTTTCTCTGGGTTGAGCTTCTCATCCATTAGGTACTATGTGCGATGCCCACTAGAGGACACTGCATCTATGAGTTCTTTGGCAGTGTGTCCAGCGGGTCCATCTCTCTCTTCCACAGTGTGTCATGAACATACCCCTCTTAATGGGACATTTGAGAGGTTTTTTTTGCCTTCTCTCCACTTTCCTTCCAACACTAGTTTAAACAGACACCAGAGACCTGTCCAAGGTGCTGTTTTCAGCCTAACTCCTTTATGGTCAAAAATTCTTTCAAATGAACATGGGTACTGCTTGACATTATGCTGAAAAATGTTGAAATTTTTACTTAATTGAAATTGACCTATTATATTCATAATACTATTCATGCTTGTATAGATGCCATCATATTTCCAGAATTAGAAATGAGTTTATACTATGTGTCATTTATTTATTTATTTATTTATTCATTTACCACAATACACATGAGCTTACCAGAGAGACGGAGAGAGAAAGAAAGACAGAGACAGCAATGGAACATGATCACACTAGAATCTTTCTCTTCCATTTTCCATCCTGTCGGGATCTATGTCAAGCATTCACACACACCTCATCTCTTTCTGAAACTGGGTCTGCCATGTGGGATCCAGCTCCCAATGTACAGTGCTTCACCTCTGTGCTATGAGGCTGGGCCTGTGGCCTTTGTTTTCCCTCCTTAGAAATATTTCTTGCATGTCTGGTATTACTTTTCTGTGATGCCACTTGATTAGGTGCTTTGCTTAAGGGAAGATGTTTGGTCACTGAAAAAGTATATGTGTGTATGCAATCGTATATACATATTCATACGTATACATATTCACACAGATCCCTCGACTCTCTCTCTATGGAGGATGGAGGAACTTGTAAAGTCTAACTATATACCTGGGTGATAGGAGAGAAATCAGAAAGACAGGAGGTCTACCATGGTGCCTTGTGCCAGGGGTCATCTCTCTCCTTTCATTTCTTCCTAAAGGTCTTGGTGTCAGATGATGGAGGAGGGTGAATAAAAGAGATTCAGACTGTGACTGAAACAACCCACAGGTGGGTGCCAGTTTTCATTTTGGCCTTGAGAGTCTCCTTTCCCAAATGCTCTTAATTTTCAGCACAGTCCCCGAGTCAAGTCTCTCCATGTGACTATCCATGGTGTGTGACTGCCTACCTATGTCAGCCAGAGCTGGCCTGGATCACTCAAGGCACCTGGACATTCAGTTGTAAGGTCAGAATGGAAGAGAGTCTATAGAAGGAATTGGTTTTTAATATATGGGAAAATAGCAAGAGAGAACCTCCTAAGATAATTTATCTTTGGAACAATGTTAGTACATGTTTTTTAACATCAACAAAGAAGTCATCACCTACAGGCCCTGAGATTTTTTTTCCCACTTCCCCATCTGCCCATGTCACTGTGAGATGTACTACTCTGCCTAATTTGACAGTAATACTCAGCCTCATCCTCAGCCTTGAGCCCAGAGATGTGCAGAAATGCTGTGTTCTTTGAAGTATCTTTGGATCCAGAGACTCGACTTGGGACCCCAGGCCCCAACTGCTTGTCAGAGTCTGAGTAATAGTATAGGAACCACCAGGGAGGGCTCTCTGGCTTCCGCTGGTACTAGTACATATTGTGGCCACCAACATTGATGTCACTGCTCAAGGTGCAGGTGAGTCTGACTGTTTCTCCAGGAGATGCAGAGGGAGTGCGGCTGGGTCAGCACAGGCTGGGAGAGGGAACCTGTAGACAAAGACACTCATGGGTAATGGGATACAGAGGAGGGAGGGTACACTGCTTAGGGCCTGAGACAGGGGGGGCTGATGCAGACCAGGGGCCACCCCTGGCATCTGACACCAGGCCTTACCTTTGCAGTAAGAAAGGATGAAGAGAAAGACAAGAGTCCAGGCCATGGTGGACACAGCCCTGCCAAAGTCCCCCTGTAGGATCCGCCCTACCCCTATTTTCCCCACTGGCAGGAAGAGGAGGGGCATCCACACAGATTTTCTTCCCCTGATGGTGATCTCTGCTGCACCCTGAGTCCAGCTGAAGGTGGAGCTTGGCTATTTCGACCAATGAGGTTGAAGCATAAGAGTCAGAGCTGACCCCATGGGGGAAGGGGAAGCAGCTTCTGGGAAGAGTCTCATCCCACACAGCTGTGAGCAGGAGTGTGGGCCCATCCCAACAGACAGGGCTATGGGTCACCATCAGCACAAACAGGCTCCCATGGCCCAGCCCTTGGAGTGTGGGGAGGACACAACTGTGGGCACCCACTTTATAGACTGAGACAGACCTGCAGCTCCCCTTGCTGCCCACTGGTTGGAATTTGGTCTCCCTGTGCACATGATGACAGGGGCTAGACCTGTTCCCTGGTCACTACTATTCCATGACCATTGACCACACACACTGGTGTCCCTGAGTAATTAGTAATAATGAATAGACTTTTCCAGGGAGGGCATTTGGACTTCTAGGACAAGAGACATGGACAATATGATGACTGTACCCTGTGAGGAGGCTGCAGGGAGTGAGAACACAGAGGGCTCTGGGGTGCCGTCTAAAGCATCTTCCTCAGGACAGAGGGATGAAAGTGAATGGGAACTGGGTCTGAATGAGGAGTCTGGCCCTGCATCAGCACAAACACAGAACAAGGTCTGAGGAACTTAGCAAGCTTTTAGAAGATGCCCCAGAGGGTGCACTTTTGATCCTGTACTACATGATGATGTGCAATCCATGAGGGATGGCCTGTGACAGTGGTCATGAGGGACAGAGGCTGGACCCCAGGCCTGGATGTGCCACAGGCTGTCTTACCTGAATTTGTGCAAGTTCTCCCTATGATGTTTGTAAAAATAATTGCCTAAAAGTACATTTTAGTAAGCGTAACCACCACCAGCAGGTGGCATGATGATTAAGGTGCTTGACTCCCATGTGGCCAAATTTTGAGTCTCAGTCCTGGTGCCTTGCTTTCTCATTTTTTCTCTGTCTCTTTCTGGTGAATATATGTGCCCTATAGCAAATTGGAAAATTAATCATAAATAAAATTAAATACTTAATAAGAATAAGAAAGAAAAAATGTGGAACCAACAGATGGAGAAATGGTTGTGTAGCTGGACTCCCACATCATCAATGATGGTTTGAATCCTGGACCTGGTTGCTTAAACTTGTCAGACACATGTGCATGACTGTCCAAGATTCCAAGGAGAGATAGAGGAGAAGGGATTGTGGAGTGGCCATGCCCCCTTGGGGGGTGATTTCTCACTTTTGTCTCTCAGTTTTCCTCTGTCTCTCTCATGACCGCAAGTGCCCAATAGCAAAAAATGTCTCCAAAAGAAAAAAAAATGTAACCTCAGTGCCCAGGATACAGTGGTGGTGGAACTTACGAGGTGACTGTGTGCAGTGTCCTATGGCCTTGAAGTGGCTGAAAAAGTAAGGGTATTTGGATCCAGATTACAAAGACCCTTCTTGGCCATCATGAAGAGACTGAAATATTTTTGACAGTTGTGGGATTGACAGGCCACCAACTGCCAATATTTAATGTGTCTAAATTAGTATGTTGTGTTATTTATATAAACCTCATCAAAATCAATAACAAATCAAGAAAATAAAACATTTGAACATCTACAAAATTTACTC